ATCCCAGAAATCTGAAATCAAAGTGTAACCAAGGTTGGGAAGTTCCTTCTGAAAGGCTAGAGGAGGAATTTGTTTCATGCCTCTGTCTCCTAGCTTCTGTATTTTATTTTTTTATTTTTTATTTTTTGAGACACAGTCTCACTGTATTGCCGTTGGTAGAGTGCTGCAGCATCATAGGTCACAGCAACTTCAAACTTTTTTTTTTCCAGTTTTTTGCCGCTGAGTTTGAACCCGCCACCTCCAGCATATGGGGCTGGCACCCCACTCCTTTGAGCCACAGGCACTGCCCCAACTTCAAACTCTTGAACTCAACAATTCTCTCGCCTCAGCCTCCCAAGTAGCTGGAACTACAGGCGCTGGCCACAACACTCAGTTATTTTCAGAGACGAGTTCTTGTTCTTGCTCAGGCTGGTCTCAAACCTGTGAGGTCAGGGCAGTTCATCTTCCTCTACCTCCCTGAGTACTAAGATTGATTACAGGTGTGAGCCACTGTGCCTGGCCTTGCTTCTTCTTAAAAAAAAAAAAAAAAGGCTGGGTGTCTCTCTGTCACCCAGGCTGGAGTACTGTGGCACAATCATAGTTCACTACAGACTTGAACTCCTGGGCTCAAGTGATTATCTTGTCTCAGCCTCCCAAGGAGCTGGGGCTATAAGTACATGACACCACAGTTGGGTTTTGGGGGTTTTTTTTTGTTTGTTTTTTTTAGAAACAGAGTCTTGCTGCTGCCCAGGCTGGTCTTGAACTCCTGGCCTCAAGCAATCGTCCTGCCTCAGCCTCCCAAAGTGCTGGGTTTACAAGAATGAGCCACTGTGCTTGGCCTCTCTTCTCTTCTAAGGACACTTGTCATTGGATTTAGGGCTCACTCTAATCCAGGATGGATGTTCTCACCTAGAGAGACTTACATTAATTATAGCTGCTAAGACCCTTTTGCCAAAGGTCACATTCACTGGTTCTGAGTGGACATATCTTTTTGGAGGCCACATTCAACCCACTACAGAGGACATTCTCCAAAATAAGTCTTCAAAAGCTATTCATGGCCTTCAGAATAAAGTCCAAGCTCCGGTCATCATTCCCAGCCACAATGCATTTGTCATATGCATGCACTGACTGGAATTAGCCTCTCTCTAACTTTCTGTTGGTTAAAAGCCTTCAGGGTTACACACCTATTTGAATGACCCAAATCAGGCAACATAGCAATACCCTGTCTCAAAAAAAAAAAAAAAAAAAAGAAAAAGAAAAAGAAAAAAGAAAAGAAAAGATAGGAAAAAAGAAAGAAAATCAATAATTGCCTGTCATGCTGGGCACTGTGGCTCACGCCTGTAATCCCAGCACTCTGGGAGGACCAGACAGGTGTATTGCTTGAGCTCAGGAGTTCAAAACCAGCCTAAGCAAGAGTGAGACACCATCTCTATTAAAAATAGAAAAATTAACCAGGCATTGTGGTGGGTTATGTCCCAGCTACTTGAGAAGCTGAAGCGAAAAGATCATTTGAACCCAGGAGTTTGAGGTTGCTATGAGCTATGATGCCATGGTACTCTACCCAGGGCATCAGAGTGAGACTCTGTCTCAAAAATAAATAAATAAAATGACCTGGCTCAGTGCCCATAGCTCAGTGAGTAGGGCACCAGCCACATACACCAAAGGTGGCGGGTTTGAGCCCGGCCCAGGCCTCTAAACAACAACGAAAC